TTAAGCCCCGCCTTCACCTGAGTTTCTGCCATGCATCACTGTGCCACAGACAGTTAATTATAAAGACTGGCTCAGTTGTCATATGTTAATATAATAACGTATCATATGTTTGCCATGGAAGGTTTAATAAAATATTTGCATGCAATTCTACCTGTATGTGAATACATCTTAAAGGAATAGTTCACTCAAAACTGAGAATTTGATTCAAATTTACTCAACTTCAGGCCATCCAAGATGAGTTGTTTTTTCATAAGAACAGATTTGGAGAAAATAATTTTCATAGAATTGTTAGCATCTAATTGCTTTGGATAATACGTGCAAGATTGTTTCTTTATCTTTTTATTCTTTATTGCTCACCAAAGGATCCTCTGCAGTGAATGGGTGCCATCAGAATGAGAGACCAAACAGCTGATAAAAATATAACAATAATCCACCAGTAGTCCACACGACTTCAGCCCATCAGTTAACGTCTTGTGAAGCAAAAAACGGCATGTGTTTAGAAACAAATGGCATGTTTTTAGTGTTTTAACTTTAAATAGTCACTTCAGCCCAAAAATTCCTCCAGTGAAAAAGTTTATGCCCTGTTGTCCTCTCACTTCAAAATCCACCAACATATATTTTTAGAACCATTTTAGCTTGTAAATGGTGCTTGATCTGTGCATATTTCTCTCCTGATTCAGACAAAATGACTTTTTCATTGGAGGAAGCAATATTATGGATAGAGGACACGTAATTTCATTAAATACGTCTTAATGATGGATTTGTTTCTTACAAAAATGCAACTTTTGACTTCACAAGATGTTAATTGATGGACTGGATGGACTAACCTGTGGATTACTGTGATGTTTTTATCAGCTGTTTGGACTCTCATTCTGACGGCACCCATTCACTGCAGAGTATCTATTGGTGATCAAGTGATGTAATGCTAAAAATCTGCTTATCCTAGGTTTTTTTTTTTCACTCTTATCCAGAATGTGTTTATATAACGCTAAAACTGTCTCCGTGTGTTGTGTATTGTTTAACATTCTGTTGGTCATGAAAAGGGCGAATCAGAGATGACACTGGCCAATTTGGTCCTCCCTGTGCTGCCCTCATCATGTTTCATGGAGGACGGGGAGTTTCTGAGGTCCCTCAAACCGTCACTGTGCCCCTTTCCAAATGAACAGGTGATCAAAGTCTTAGTTTGTTGCCAGGGGCGACAGGATTGGCCACTATTAAACAAACTGGCCCCGCTCATGAAGGGCTAGATGGGTTTAGTTTGGCATCTACGCTCTCTTTGTAACTCTCTCACACACGCATAAACACATGTATGTGTCCCAGGCACAGGCACGTCCACATAAACGGACACACACAGCTTAGTCAGGCAACTGGACTGCTGTGTTGCACCACATGAAAAGGTGTGTGAGAGAGAGATGGCTGTGCATGCGTAAAGCCAGGAAAGAGAGCTCAAGCGAGAGAACTTGCATGTGCCCTCTCTCCCTCAGTCCGTGCCACCCCAGGGTGGGAATGCTAAGACAGACAGGCGGTTTATTTTTGGGTCAGTGACAGTGTGTCAATGGCCGCAGATGCGTCGCAAAGGAAGGCTCTGAGATACCAGCAGACCGTGGTCAGTCCCTGTCTCTCTCCTGCTCTCTCTCTATCTCCCTCGCCCTTTCTTCTGCTCTTTCTTCTGTCTGGTTACTCTTTAGTCTGTTGTGAATTGCTGTTCTTCTGTCGTTTGAAATCATATGGACTGAAAGATGTTGCACAATCTTTGCATGACGTGTATATTTGTACCGACTGAGTCACCGTGTTAAGCGCTGGGCTGCAGAACTCGTGGAAAGTGCAACAGGAGTTAGTCATTTTCCTCCTGTCATTTTTTCTCCCTTTTACTCCATCTCTCATTTACGTATATATAGGCTCCTGAAGAGGTCTGTACTATTATTTTAGTTTATCTGTATAAGTTTGCAGTGCAACTTTTTTAAGAGAAAAGGCCCAGTCCGTACTATGACTTTAATTAAAAATGAGTGATTCTTCAATTA